GATTATTTTGGATTTTGACAACAAATCTTCTTGCAAAATGTCTAAAAATTAAGGTATTTTAAGGTTATTATAAAGTGGTAGAAGTGATAATGTTGTCATAAAACCGTCATTAAATAAAATCCAAAATAATTTTATTTACTCGTCAAACTACAAGAATCAAAACTTGACGAATCTTACATAAAAATTCTTAAAAATTGTGATTAAATGAGGAAACAAGACTAACCTCAAGATTATTTTTTGATTTCGACAACAAATTTTCACAACAAATTTCTTGCAAAATGTCAAAAAATGTTGTCATAAAAACTTAATCAAATAAAATCCAAAAATCATCTTATTCACTCATCAAACTACAAAAAGCAAAACTTGGTGAAGCTTACATACAGATTATTCAAAATTTTGACTAAATGAGGAGACTAACCTCAAGATTATTTTCGATTTCGCAACAAATTTTCATTTTAGACTCTGTTCAGATTCTTCCAAAATGTCTAAAAACGGCAAAATCCTAAAATATTCCTTTAAAATTAGTTGTAGCTTCTCCGTTTTCTTGAGTAACCATTGCTCTGAGCCGAATCGCAGTTACGTTGAACTAACTAAACTTGACTTCCCACAACATTGTCCAATCAAAACCGTGCAGATGTACTCGAGTGTGAACAATGACCTAATGCAATTACTTATCATTTTTGAAGAATTCCACTGCGCTCTAATATCTCCAGGCAACACTTTATACCACAAGAGAAACAAGCCAGAACATTGCATTGTTTAGTCAATTGGCTATTTATTTATGCTAAAGGAGCCCCGTAGCAGTGTGCTGATGTATAAGAGTCGACGTGAATACGAGACAAAGGACCTAAAACTCTGAAGGGGCTGGATTTAGTCTAATATTCCTCTACGAAAATGTTCAAATCCTCAATAAAAGATGGTTTACTATCTTTACTATTTTCTGTATGGACAAGTTATAGGTTTGCCTTAAATGTTCCACAGTTTAGAATTAATTGTATCTATCTACAGGGTTCCCACAGTTATTTCCCAGGCCTGGATTTTAGTAAATTCAATGAAAATTTTGGAAAAGTCATGGAATTTTACTGTCTCTTTCAGCGTTCTGTTAAGTTATCATAAGGCTACGGTGCAAAAAAAAAGTTAAAATGACTTAAATTAAGAACATTTGACTTTATTTGAGTAAATTAAACTCGACAAATAAAATTAAAACCATGGAATAAGTGTGTTTGTCTTAATTCAAGCAGCATATAGTGGAGCAAGATGTATTTTCATATTTTAAGTACAAAAAGTCATCATTTTACGTTTTACAATTTTACAAATCACGATAAAACTTTCTTAACTTGGCTAGATTTAGTTTTTTTTGCGGTGTATTATGATTATTTCTGAACGTTTGTAAGACTTTTTGTTTTAAGTAAAATGACTTTTCCAAAATTTTCATTGAATTAAAAAAAAAATCCCAGCCTGGGAAATAATTTTTTCGATTTCTATGACTTTTCCAGGATTTCCATAACCGTGGGAACCATGTACATAGATATGATTAATTCTAAACTGTGGAACATTCAAGGCAAACCTATAACTTGTCCATAAAGAAAACAGATAATAAACCATCTTTTATTGAGGATTTGAACATTATCGTAGAGGAATATTAGACTTAAGTACGATGTAGTTGCGTGAAAGAGATACTAAAATTTCATCACTTTTCCAAAACTTTGCCAATGATATTTTCAATTTTCATGACTTTTCCAGGATTTCCATGACCGTGGGAACTCTGTCCATTAATCCCTAAAAGGTTGCGTTCACGTTCTACAATTTGATGAAAGTGCCATTATAACTCTATGGGAGATTCGCTGCTTTTGAAAGACACTGTATATCTAATCCTGACTCCTAACCCTAAACTTCTGATCTCCAAATGTGGAATCTTATCGTTATTTGCTTGTGATTGGCTGCACAAACTCGCCACATCAATCTTAGGGCACTGAGTTGACACAGAGGGCGTTGAACTTCGTTATTAGGCCCAGTAATTACAGCGATATGAACCATAAACCGGGTCAACAAACCTGCAACCTGACATTTACACGGCAAATTCCACCTGAGAATTCTGAACTCGGTATTAAACATGACGTCAAGACAACGCATCCTATTGGTGCTTCGCGGTGACATCGTGCTCTGGGTGTTCTACATGTATGTCTATGGTGAAATGTTTATGAAGTAACGTGACACAACGCACATATTACACTATCTTTGAGTGTCCAAAAAAGCGCTATATAAAACTGAAGCATTATTATTCTTATTATTACATCAGCAAACACATTTTTTTTCCTGAACACTCTTAAAAAAATACAAAATGGCCTTAAGCAACACATTTTCAGGATGGTTCTGTTCAGGTGTCCGATTTTCAACCAAAAAGGCGAAAGCGACAAACTGAAAAACTGTAATCTTACTCGAGGGACTTGTTTAACAGCACGAATCATCTCACGTGTTCTAATTCGAGATAAGTCGGTTCTTTATTCGGCCCTACAAAGGCAGAACGACGTAACATCACGAGCGCAACAAAATGAGTTCGTGTCACGTTGTTTGTACTCGAAACCTCCTTTATCGTGTGAATAAATATCACCAAAAATACTGAACTCGAAATTGACCTTTGATCCTTATTTGTCCGTTGCTGTACTTTGCCTTTGTGTCGTGAGCCAAAAATAAGGAGTCGTACAAAGGCAAAAGGCAAAAGGCAGTGACTGTGCATATTGTGTTTGCGATTTAGTTCATAAATATATTTTATTTTACAAACGGCTTCTTCTTTTTGTTGGGGCCTCGGCACAGGGTCTAAACACATTAAATAAATAAACCTTTGTATTCAATTATACGTAAATGATCTTTAACGTGTAGTATTTAAGTGTAAGTTTAAGTGTTGTGTAAGTATTTATTCATACTGTACACAGTGGCGGAGTTAGCAATTTGGGGGCCCTAGGTGAGTTAAGTTTGGGGCCCTCACTATAATTATTTATTTATTTTTTTCATATTGTTCTTGAAACATGCACATCTTTATTTATTTGAATTATGGTGGATTGGAAACTTGTCTTACTAGTTTGGTCGCTTACTAGAGAACCAGAGCTGAAAGTAGTTTTATTTTTTGCTAGTACAGTTATATTTTTGTTTACATCCATTACATACAGTATCATTATTATTATTATTTTTCTAATGATTATTGTTTAAAAGTAAAACTACTCTCATTTAAAGTCACACTGAGAGAAAATCAAATAGCTCTGAGGCCTCGGTGATTAGTCACATTAGTCAGGGAAAATGGTTGTGGGCCCCTTCAGGTTTGGGGGCCCTTGGCAGCTGACTACTTTTGCCTAATGGTAGCACCGCCTCTGACTGTACAGACTATAGGCGAGTTTCATTGTTGACAAAAGCGCGCGTTGCATGCTGGGAATTATTTTGGTCGGCGGCAAGAAAAACTAATTCAACATGACGGACGGAGCGAGAAAGCACGTAAAGGGTATTGATCCCGGTTATTTATCCACTCTAACGGCAGAGGACCCAAGACCATTTGACCAGAAATTGGTCATAAGCATCGATGGAGCCAAATCACCCTTTTCAACCCCTACAAATGTGGACCAAACCAAATTTCTGGTCAGAATCGCCAACTACCTGGACAAATATTCACTTGGGTGATATCCACAATGACTTGGTGGAAACTCCTGGGCCATTCACAGCAGAAAAGATGAAAACCTCCAAGAGTCTCGATGTGTTGTTGAACTTGTTGGAGTCCACGGTTTGTTAGGATCTTCTACGTTTGCTCTGCGAATGTCTAAAAGTCGTTTAATTCACCGTTAGCGGTTCTTTTCACTCAGAATACGAAAAAGACATTTTCCTTCTTCCGTGCTTCTATTTGTGCATCCGATAATGCAGCAGGAATTTACCATTATCGGGGATAAATACGCGAGGTTACGCACTGTGTTTGACCGCTACCGTGTTTCTTGCCTCCGACCAAAATATTTCCCAGCATGCAACGCGCGCTTTTAATAACAACTGAATAACAGCTGAAATTCGCCTATACTGCAAAGTCACTTGTGTGTCAAATTGGAAATCCAAAGCTCTTCTATATCATTTCAAACAAACTCCATGATGAAAGAACAAAAATGTGGCTGTTTGCTGCAGGTGTTCCAATCAGTGGGAGCAGGTAGAGGGCGCTCTTGGAAAAAGGATCAAAACTAAAACACAACAGACTCCAGGCTTAGGGCTCCACTAAGCCCCGATGAAGACCAGTTAAGGTCGAAACATGTCGGCTTTGGCCATTCAGATAAAGGCCTTTTGACTACATTTTTCCTCATGCGATTTTTTACTTTTTCTACTTCTTTGGAGCGCCTGGAGTCCGTTGTGTTTTAGTTAAACTCCACGATGACTCAAGCTTGGTGAGGTGCTTTTCTTATAATGGACTGAAGTCTGGGAAAAATCAAGCAATTAATAATGATCATGTCAGTTACTACCTTTTTTCTTAGCATGACTCATTATTTTTGGCTCATGAGGAACTGACAAATAAAGGTCAAACGTAAATTTTGTGCTCAATATTTTTCGCATACAAATATTTCTTCATTTTAGCGACTAGTGGTCAAATTTTTGGTACTTTTGTCTGGACAAAACAGAAACTTTGAAGTCATTTTTCTCAGTTTCACATTTAACAGTTTCAAATTTTCCGGTGAGTTAAGCTCTTTTTTGGTGTAGTCATATTGTGTTAAAACAAAGCAAAACTAAGAGTAACAGAGCTCCAGACAGAACAGTGCCTCCAGTTAGTATCACACCCCGAGGAAACATTGACGACATTGGCTGCGAAGTACCGATCACTCCGCGTTTTGTCCACAAGCAAACTCAGAAGGCATTTCCAGAGAATGAGAAACACACGCCGTTTGACGCTTAAGTGAAATGAAATTATGCAAGAAAAAAATTAAACCCACAACCCACCGACAAGTGTCAATAAAAATACAAGAAAAGAACCCAATACTTACTTCCCCCTTTGCCTTTTTTTGCTTTACAAGACGGGGAGGGGTTACATGTAGTGCCATTGCCCATCCATTCCCATATTCATCCCCATTCCACTCATAGGCCCTGGAAAGAGGAGAGAAACGAAAAGAGGGAGAAGTCAGCAAAAGGGAAAAAAAAGCAGAAAAAAAACGAGCGCAGAGATAGTTTATTTGTGATAGATTCCGTCCCGCGTGACCCAGGTTAGGAAGAACAACAAGCAGGAGAGGCAGCGGAGAGCTCGGGGGACCGGGCCAGGCCGAGGACGTGTTAATGCGCGGATTAGCGGCTAACAAGGGAGGCTAATGCTAAAGCTAAACAAGGTGATAAGTGGCGGGCGAGCGTGCCGAGGGTCAAGGGGGAGGCTGGCCAGGTCAAGAAAATGTTAGCGATACTCGTGCAGGAGGTTTGTGCGCACGTCTGAACACCTTATAGTGCCGTAACTTTAAAGCACATGCAATTCAGCCTGTAAATATCTTAAAAAAGGAGCACATTTTCAGTCAGATGTCCTTTCTATGTGAATATAAATGCCACTAATCTCGATTTTGGTGTTCAGTAAAACCATTTAAACTCACAAAATCTGAATATTCGGTTAAAGGATGTTCATTTATATCAGGGATCTCAAACCTTCACCTCCTTCCAAGTAGCTCGCCAAATGATTTCTGAATTATACGTACTGTTCTGAACAAGTAAAACTGAAGTAAATAAGTAAATAAATGGATAATTGTTTGGTTATCATGATTGTTATATACAGTGGGTGTCAAACTGAAATTCACAGAGCTCGAAATTAAAAACTGGGACCAAGTCGTGGGCCAAACTAAATATTTATTGAACAATTTCCACGGCATCTGCATGTTTTCTCTTCTTTCAAGATATGTAATGTTAAACCTTTTCTTATTAAAATAAATGATTAAGAATAGTTTTGCTTAAACATTGAATGTAGAACAGGGTTGGGCAAACTTTTTGACTCGAGGGCCACAAAGGGTTCTAAAATTTGAAGGAAGGGCCGGACCAGGAGCAGATGGATGGAGTTTTTTGGCAATTCACCTCATAAGAGAAAAAAATAACATGGGATATGTAGAAAATATATCCCATGTTATTAAAATATCCCATAATTGAAAATCATTACAAAGCATCACAACAAAATATCTGTCTTTCAGGTCCCACGGTATTTACTATTTACTGACTTTTAAAACACTGAAAATTATTGTTATTGTTGTTCTTCAAGGTCGGCGGGCCGGATCAAGAAGATTAAAGGGCCGCATATGGCCCCCGGGCCGTAGTTTGCCCATCTCTGATCTAGAACATTAAATAAATAATGTCTCTATAGCCTATCTGTAGTGGGCCAGCTCTAATACATATTTTGAAATGATCTCACGGGCCAAATATAATTATATCGCGGGCCAAATTTGGTCCCCGGGCCTGAGTTTGACATGTCTGATATATACAATCAAATTCTTGCGACCGCTAAAATGTGTAGCTTTCTAGAATTTTTGTTTTGTAAAGGTAGCTCACTGAAGCAAAAAGGTTGGAGACCCCTGATTTATATGTTCTATAACCAAACTTGTTGATTGTCGCTGTGTTCAATAATAACTGTGTCTTTAACAATCTTTAATTCAGTCATGTAGTATAAATATGACAATCTGTACAAATGTTTATATGCTCTTTCCAGTTTCATGCACTTCCACTTCCACTTTTCCTACCTCCTCCCATTGGTCAGTTTATAGTTTTTATGATTTCAGTGAGTGATAAATAAATATAACCAATCACAGTGAAGTGTGAACTTCAAGAAGAAGCAGAACTCTTTCTTACTGGCAAACCATTATCAAATCTTGTCTAGTGCAACATTATAAAAGGAAGAGGAGAAAAAAATTCAGTTTGTCGACTGGACAAAAGTTAGTTTGGTTGAAGACGTTTCGCAGCTCGTCCAAGCTGCTTCTTCAACCAAACTAACTTTTGTCCAGTCGACAAACTGAATTTTTTCTCCTCATGGATTCTACCTGGACGACTGAGGGATTCTTCACATTATAAAAGGAAATTTCAATCAGTTTTGAAGTTTTGGAGTGAATACGTTTCATCACTCCCCCAAGTGGCTTCTTATAGTTTTATAGTTATTTAATGAGACAGGAACAGTGCACAGTCTACACTAACTGTAACAGGGGAGATGTTTTGTACCAGGTTGTAGCACCAGTTCTAATTTCCACCCGTTGTCCCTGAGTAGATTCATTGACAGATTGTATTTAACTGAGTTTAGCTTTCAGATATTCTTCAGTTCTGACAGGATCACTGCCTTATATCTGTGTGAATGGAGGAGCGAACTACTCTGAAACTGACACACCCTAGTGGTTTCCATTAAGGAATATGTGTTATTATTTATGCCAATTGAACGACTCTAGGGTGTGAACTATCACCTGAGTTAGACAATATTTTTACAAATCTTGCAAGAGTAACAATGCAGCACGTATTTTTTTCTATAACTGCGGTGTCACCTGCTTGTTAATAGTGGTTCAGTCCACTGACCTACCCTAAGGTGTTGGGTAGTTGCAAATCTTGCCTAAAAGTGAACCTAGCCTCTACAAAAAATGTGTTTTTAACTTTTCAGAACACTTTAATAGTTAGTCTGATGGTGCCACATGTTTGTTGATAACGGTTCAGTCAATTGAACTACCCTAAGGTGTGAACTCAGCCGCCTGTCACCTGAATCATATAGAACTCTACAAAAAATGTGGTTTTTAACTTTTCAGAACACTTTAATAATTAATCTGATGGTGCCACATGTTTGTTAATAACGCTTCAGTCAATTGAACTACCCTAAGGTATGAACTCTGCCACCTGTCACCTGAATCATATATAACTCTACCTAGACTCTACAAAAAACTTAATATAATTTTTTTTTTACCAGATTATAATTGTTACATTTTCAGAGCACTTTAATAGTTACTCTGATGGTGTCACATGTTTGTTAATACCTGCGCAGTCCATTGAACTACCCTAAGGTGTGAACGGTCCCCTAAGTCATATTTTTGCAAATCTTGCCTAAACCGTACCCTAGCCTCTACAAAAAATGCAATTTTAAGTTTTTACCATATTATAATTGTTACATTTTCAGAGCACTTCCACATGCTTGTTATTAACGGTTCAGTCAGTTGAACTACCCTAAGGTGTGAATGATCACCTGAGTCATATATAACATGGCCTCTACAAAAAATGCATTTTTTTTTTTTTTACCAGATTATAATTGTTACATTTTCAGAGCACTTTAATAGTTAGTCTGATGGTGCCACATGCTTGTTAATAAGTGCGCAGTCCATTGAGCTACCCTAAGGTGTGAACGATCCCCTGAGTCATACTTTTGCAAATCTTTCCCAAATCGTAACCTCTAAAAACATTACAAACCAAATTATAATTCACACATTTCAATCTCATTTTTTCACAGCCAGTCTGAGGGTGCCACATGCTTGTTAATAACTGTGCCAAACTGTTCCGTCCTGAACCATGTCCTGCAGACTCACCGGCCGGTCGGATCCCCATGTGCTGCTGCCCGTCCAGCACGAAACTGCCCATGGGCTGGCCCTCGGGACTGTACGCCGCTCCCTGGCTCACTGAAGGATCAAGAAGAAAACCTGATTGTAGTCAAAACGTGGACATCAACACAGGAAGAGGGGGGCCGCGGGGAGGGGGAGGAGAGAAAAACACCAGACAATCAGCATATTGTCCCAGCTCTATAGCCCCAGACATACTGTTAGACATTGTTGGTCATGTTTGCACTGATTGACGCGTGGCATGCTAAGACACGGGCTCCTCCGGCATGCGCTCGCCAGCTCGCACAGTCGCTGTCATTCAAACGCGCGCACAGTAAAAGCATTGTTCGGATAAACGCAGACAAAAACATGCGGTTTGACAGGACGGAGAAGCCCGTTTCTGGCCAATCAGAGGAAGGAGGCTACAGGCTAACATGCACGGGAGAGTGTTGTTATAGTGGGATTGGTTTAACCCTTGTGTTGCTTCTGTGGGGTCAAAATGAATATGTTAGTAGTGTAAATGGCGGTTTTGGTTAGAATCGGGGTGTCGTTATGGGAAATTTTATGTTTTGGGGAGCTGCCAAATAAACCCCTTGAGTGAACCATGTGGGGTTATTATTTATTACATTTTTAAAAATAATAAAAATATACAAAACTAAGAAAAAAAGTAAAATAAAATAATAACATAAAAAATAAATAAAAAATATAATAAAATAATAATAAACAAATAATATTAATTTATTATAAATACATTAAAATAATAAATAGATAAAAAATAAAAAATAAATAAAAAATTTAATTAAATTATTCCCTAAGTAAGTTCTAATCTAACCATATAGAGTCACCAAATTTGGTAGCTGGCTTCAAAATAAATAAATAAATAAATAAAAATAAATTAATTAATTTAAAAAATTATTAATTAATACATTTTAAAAAATAAATTAAATAAATAAAGAAAATAAAATTATAATACAAAAAAATCATATTAATTAATTATAATAAATTAAATATAATAAATAATAAAATAAAATAATTCCATAAGTAAGTTCTTACCATATAGAGTCACCAAATTTCAAGATAGAGTCACCAAATTAAAACAATAATTAAGTTTTATTCTGAATTGTGAATATTATATAAGTTCCCCAAAACAAAATGTATGACTCAACGAAATCAATGTAAGAACACAAATGTATTAATTAATCCATTCATACATATTATGGGCTGTATGAATGGGGTCTTGAGTCGTTCCCCGGAGCATTCTAACCATATCCATATTCATATTAACCTTTCCATTACAATGTCATTTAGCATAATTATTATTGAACAACACAAGGGCTGAATCCATGGAAATCCCTCATTCACATTCACCAGCATTCAGCGTTCTCAATGAATGACTGCTTATCTCCCACGATAAAAACAACATCTCATACATGCTCTGCTCCTGTCATGTGTTGTAACCTAACAGCCTTATCTGGAATTATCGTGTTGCTTCAGATTAGCGGTAGCAGTTAGTCATGCTCATATTTTTGTCATTTTCTTTCTCCTATTTTTGTCAGAATTCACTCTCCGTATACAGGAATGGCACAAAGGGAGAGGTCGCCCACACTTGTAGCTGCATCTCATTTTCCAAATTTTGGTTTAATTACGTAACGCCCCGCTGGGTGTGTAAAGAGAACCTAATCTCGGAAAGTACATGCATTTCCTTTGCTAAAATATGTTTAAGTCACTGGAGATGTAATCAATGCTCAGAGCGAGAGTGAATCATGCATTTGGGATTTAAATTTTATTTAATTTGTTTATATTTTTTGGTAGATTTTTACAAATTATCAAAAAATTATCATCTTTTTAAAGGGTTTTCTGTACATTGTATAATTCTACATTGATAAGATATTCATATTCATATTTATTTACTACAAGACCTGTGAATTTAGGCTTGATCCAGAACACAAATATTGTAAAAAAAAAAAAAAAAAAAAAAAAGCTATAAATTTGGCCAATTGAACTTTAAAATGTAATTGAACTGTAAAATTTCAAGTGGGAAAAAAAAAAAAAAAAAATCTCTAAAAATAAATTCACACATTTTTATTTAATTAAAGCAGGGGAAAAAAATTGGCCAATTGAACTTAACAAACTTTAAAATTTCATGTGAAAAAAAAATTCTAAAAAAAATAAATAAAATTTTTTTGTCAATAACCTACTTTTTTTTAAATTTTTTATTAAAGCTGAAAAAAAAAATGGCCCGTTGAACTTAACAAACTCTAAAATTTCATTAGGAAAAAAAAAATCTAATTATGAGTTTTTATCAACAATCTACTATTCTAGAATTTAATAAAAGCAGGAAAAAAGTTGGCCAACTGAACTTAACAAACTGTAAAATCTCATGTGATAAAAAAAAAAAATTCCAAAAAAAAAAAAAATCATGTGTTTTTGTCACCAAGCTACAATTTTTGAATTCAATTAAAGCAGGAAAAAAAATCTAAGTGACATTTATAAAATTTCAAATATTCTCTTTCATGTACTGTATGTGAGTGCGTTTTTTTGTGTTATTTTTTTTTCCACGTTTTTCTTACCTGCTCGATTCGACTGGTCAATCATGGGCTGTACTATTCTTCTCCTGGCATTGATGAACCTGAAAGACACGAGAGAGGAGACAAATCAGATTTAGTGACCTTGCATCACACATTACGAGTTCTATTTTTAGAGCGACGTTACCCTGGGCCCCCCAAAAAAACCTATCAACGCCCCTGCAACAAAAGAACGATTGTGCGCCGACCCGGGAGCACCGTGATATTTTTAATGTGCCTCATGATCTATTCTTTCCCCCTTTTAATAAAGCTTTTGATTACGCTGGGTTGCTATGGACACCGGGGAGACATTTCTCAAGTATTAAATGCGGCGCAGGTAGGTGGCGAGATAGCGTTTTATCGTCAGAGCTGGCGCGAGGTAGGAGTAGGAGCCCTCGGTATCAAAGGTGACACAGCTATATACAGGATGAATAGGTTTTGATTTGCAAGACAAAACCCAACCCTATTCCGATTGGCTGGCGACAGATCAATCACTCCGTTTTGACCATTTTATGAGCCTAAAATGCAAAAGTGGTAAAGCGCTGATGGGGTGATAAAAAGGTTGTGGGTTTGACGCCAACAATCAAAGCAAGGTCAACAAAGCATGCCTTCGTTTTCAGCCGCACACATGGCGAAAGTGGTGACCCTAAACCACCCCTTGAGGAAAAGTAAGCGGTAAAAGAGCCCGCTTCTTAGACCTGAAGTTAAATATGGACTCCTCTTAAGAACTGAGACACGCTAGAGGAATTAACAAAGATTTATAGGTGCACTGTGTAACTTTTCTTGAGTCTCCATGTTTGTTTGGGACGTTACTCTTATCTTGCCTCGAAAAACACTCATTCTTACTTTGACCAGGCTCGCCTCTCCGCAGATTTGACCTGTAACTTGGCCTTGGTCATTTTCTCCCTGCGTATTTGAGCAATGTGTCTCGCCCCTGTACAGATATGTGGTATAAGCAGCTCTTGAAGTCAAAATAAGGTGAATAAGGTGACGATTTTCTGGCTCCTATGTTCCTGTATCTGATCTTTTAATGACAGTCTGAACGATGCAGATCAGATTTTTTTCAAATACGACCCAGGACACTTGGATATTTGACCCTAAAACCGATACATATCCGATCTTTTGACATGCGACTTCAGTCTGAACGGTCAGGTCACATTCATCCCACCTACAGGTCAGGCTCGGAGTCTCGTCAATGGAGCGAAAGCGAGGTTCGCGAGTTAATTAATACTTGGGTCGATCGCTGTATTCTGGCCAAACTGGAAGGTTCTTATTTATCGGAACTGGGCGTTTTTTGAAATGATTGCCAAAGAAATGTCCGAGCACGGCAACAGACGGTCCTGGCTTCAATGTCAATGAAAAATAACAAACCTGCGAGCCAAAAACAAGGAGGCTAAAGACAAACAAAACAAACAAGGCAGCCGTGGACGTGTAACCTGTCCATTTTTCGAAGAACTGAACCGTATTTTGAGAGTCAAGCCCAGCGTTTAGACGACTTCCGTAAACACTGAACACGCTCGATGAGTGTGACGTCGTCGTGTCCTCCAATGCGCATGCGGGACACTTTTGGGGCGTTTAAAGTTCACACTGGAGATCACAAACAAGTCGGATTTAACCCGGAAATGTGAACGACTTCGCAAAAAAATCCGAATTAAGCATTAAGCCCTGCAGTCTGAACGTAGTCTAAGAGCGGTTTGTACTGTCTGCAAGTTTTTTAAGAAAGTCAAAATGAAAAAAAGCACCTTGTAACGGAATACGTACTGTACTAGAAATCCTACTTTTCACGGACTATTTGATCATGACCATCCCACCTCCATCTTCGTATCACCCGCTGGAATCTCAACGTCAGCTTTGAGTTACAAATGACTCTTTTCATTCCAAGCCCGACTCCCGACTCCCACTCCAGCCTTCCCCCCCCTGGGCCGGGACCCCCGCTCCGCTCCCCGTGCATTGTAGGGCCTCCACACTCTCCGCGCACTCCCCTCTCCAGCTGTCCAGAAATGAGGACCAGGCGTGGGGCTACTCGGTGCCTTTCACGAGGTATTGTTATGTCAGCGAGCCCATCAATTAGGCTGTCTGAAGTTTTATCACCAGAGCCAGCTCCACAAAGCAGCCTCCCCTGGCCGCCCCATTGGTCCGGTGGCTGTGGCGGAGGAGAGTCGCGGGTCATCTGGAGGTGACCGCGAAAAAGGGGGTAAGGCCTGGACTGCGGATCCTGGTCACCGGATTGATCGATCTATCTAGATAACCAAGAATACGCAGCTTTAGAGGTCAAAGTATGTCCACTGTGTACTGTCTGCGCCTAATTATTGTCTAATTGGTGATAGTTTTATTGTACGATAATCAGGAAGTGCGCGTTGGCATGCTAGCTTCAGCGCTCTTGCTTCGGCAGTAAACCTATGGTGTTGTCAAAATTGCATATGAGTCGAAAAGCATTGACGAAACTCTTGAAAAATCAAAACAAAAACTAAGAAAGACGTATCCCATGGCAACAGTGTCTCTAAAAACGTTTCTCGAAGTAGATATCGCAAATGATTATTCGTACACCAATGTCAGTGTGTATAATTGGGCCTGTGGAATCTGTTGTTGTTGTGCCCTTAAGCAAGACACTTCATCCACCTTGTATAGGCAACGGTAGCTACAATAACATCTTATCACAAGTGAGTATGGAATGAAAGAATAATTTATATATTATGATATTTGTTGCCGATCCTAAAACTGTATTACCGGTTTGAGAGAAGTTTGAGAGAAGAACTCAGCCTAAATCTACAGAGTTTGTGCGTTAAATATGTGTGAATGAAACAAAACAAAACACAACTCCAGATATGTTGGTCCGTGCGCCATTCGTTCTTTTGAATTTCAATTAAAAACAAAAAAACTGTAAAATGGGAAAACAGTTGGTTATTTCATTATTTGGTTTTAGTGTCAAACAAAAAAAAAAACTGACTTTGACCTAAATTTCCAATATTTATAAGTTTATTTCATATACCACAAATGAAAAAACAGTCTCGGTGCCTATTTTAATTTAGATATTTTAGTTTCTCTGGTTTATTTGCTCCGGAAGTTCTGCTGCTTTGACGTGCCATGTGTAAATTCAGTGTTGACTGAATAAAGGAGTTTATCGCTGCTACCTGTTTCTCGTCATGGAGTTTAACAATTACTTTCTGAGACACGAAACTAAACGTGTCCCTATAAAAGACGACGACATGTTTGTTCACAAAACTGCAGCGATGTTTCAGGTAAGTCCTTCTAGCAGCAGAACTTCCGGGGCAAATAAACCAGAAAACGAGAATAAAATATAAAATAAACAGAATACCAGAGAATAAAACATAAAAATTGAAATCGCCATGATGACAATTTTGTATTAAAATATTGGAAATAGAGGTCAAAATCAGTTTTTTTGTTTGGTTTCTACTCAAACCGAATAATGAAATGACAAACTTTTAAAAATTGTATTGTTTTCCGAACAAATTGTACACAGACTTATGTTTTTTTGTTTTTTTTAGGAGGTTCATCATTATAACATAGATCAGCAAATATTGTCATACAGACCTTTTAAAATCCTAAACTTTGACAAAGTTCAAAGTCCCTCCAAGTTCAAAATGTTACTAAATTGCGCTAGTCCTATGAGGTCAAAGTTCAACCGTCCATCTTTACAGTATCAGCACAAAAATCCAGCATATCATATCCACCAATCAAGTCCACCCTTTCTTGACCTCTCTTGCGCTCTCTCCATCCCTCTCTCGTTCCTTTCACGTACTAAACATGTAGCGTGGACTTAGCGCTACAGGTACTGCCATGTGTTTGAGATTACTCCTCGGTTTCAAATCACGTCAGACCTGTCCTGCACGGAGCCCACCGCCTCTCGTAACGTACGCTCGGCGGCGGCAACCATCAGTGGGGCGAGCGCAACCTGGTCATTAGCCTCTCGCAAAGACCTGGAACCAATTTGGCTCGCCTAATCCCCCATGAAGCCCCGATACCTGCCCTTACCTTCTGCAATGAACTTAAATGGCTGTAATCTCGGCCAGCTCAAAGTCACATGGTTAAACGTACAAAATGCTCAGTCGAAGGATGAAAAAAAAAACAAAAAAACGGAGGAGAAGAGAGGCGCGGTGCTCATTTGCAAGGGGGCATCCAGAGGGCACGAGGCAGGGGTGCGCACTAGGCCCCTTAAAGTTCATATGACGTTTTTTTCAAATTCTGACTTCGTTTAGTAGTGAGTTAGTATCTGTTATCTATGATCAATATTTATCATAGTTTTGCATCAGTTACGTGACAATTTGTGGGGAAAAAAGCACAAAAATACAAGACGTAGCAGTGAGTTTTAAAACAGAATCCCTAATATCTATGTCACGGAAAATTCCATCCAAAATACATGGACAATTTACGCACAAGAAACTTTTTTTGACAGTTGAAATCTTCAGATGTTGCCATTTCTCTTTAATAGTCTAATCATAAATTTTAGTGATTGTTTACCATATAAAAATCAATAGTGCGCCTTATGTATTATTTCTGGTTGTGCTTACTGACCTCGAGCTGATTTTATGTCGTACACAGCGCTCAAAAATCTGTCAAAATGTTTTAGTATGACTTTGGTAAACTACGAAGACGCGCATATTCCGCTGAGTCGTGTCCTTTAGTCCGACAAAAGCTGAACCGCATCAGCGCACAAGGAGCGAGCTGTTTTTTTCAGCGATTATAGTTTATGCAAATGAGCCATGTAGTTTTAAGTTTCGTCTCTGTAAAACGTAAACAAATGTGCGTAAAGCTGCATTAAACACATTATTACTCAATGTATATTTGAGTCGTCCTCGTAGGAAATAAACAAATTTAAATTTTCCGCCCACATTCACATTCATAATCCACATTCACCAAGACAGGGAGGCAACGCCGGGCGAATTACGCCACGATCTGCCTGACGGATCGTGGACGCCTGGACTAAAAGATCAGTCTCAAGTGTCGTCCGTTTGTTTCACTTAATGCACCTTATAATCTGGTTTATGTATGAAAACAGACAAGAGAATTCGACATTATTGATATTGCGCCTTATAATCCGAAAAAT